ATAGACGCTATATATCAGGTATACTATTTTAATACTAATATATTATTTTACAACTGTTTTATTCGTTGACTAGAGACTGGTACTGATTATTCATATTATTAACATAATATTGTGTGAAATAATAATACTCGTACTTAAAAAATATTATTTGTTTCGTGTGTGTGTGCGTGCGTGCGTGCGTGTGTGTGTGTGTGTGTGTTTGTTGTGCCTAATATGTTATTTTGGTAATAATAACATAATTATATTATAATATACCAAACATTATTTGTATTATAACAAGGACATATATGGATTCAAGAAGAAAAAAGCATTTCAATATTTGTTTCTATCCAATGTAAGTTTGTTACAGTAAATTATTCCTGACATTGTACACAAACATTATAACACCTATTTGAATTGAAATAATATTTTGTATTGGTCAAATTTGAAGTTTAAATACCTACTTTACATATTTTTAAAATAAAACTTTTTGCAATTTGTTTAATTGAGTACGCACTATTAAGAATTCCATTGCTTTTTTGAAATTATATTTATTAGTTTAATTTTTCCTAACTTCAGCCAATAAGATATATTATTTAAGTTGTACTCACTGTTTTCTTATAATTGTAATATATTGTGTATAATTTTTGATTGAATAATAGGTATAAGAATTATGTACATTTTAGCTAAAATTGTATACAAAAACAAAAAATATTTATACAAGATTATTAGAGTAAACATAACATTTTATATGTACTTTTCTACACTCCTTATTTTTACAAGGTCCCCAAATTTATAGGTTAGCTATCTTATGTATAATTCTGTCATTTTTAATTCAACTTCCAAGTAGGTATCTTAAATACTTAAGTACTTAATAACAAAAGTGATACTTATCTAGGGATGCGATTCGTTCTGATTTGACCTGTACCTATTATTAAAATTTGTCCAACTTATTAATTTGTTTACTTACTGTGTAAACTGTAAGTAAAAAGCTAAATTTAAATTTGTTGATTGTGCAGCAAAAAATATCAAATATGAATAAAATTCATGGTATCCAAAATATTGCACTTCGACAAGTTCTGCCATTCATCTCCAACCTTACTCTTGTTAATTTTGGTATGGAAGTTAATAAAGAAAAAGTACGCATTTTCTATATTCTGTGCTTTTATAGTAGACTGGAGATTGAATTCAAAATCATCCAAATTTAAATTATCTTTCCATTTTCACACTGCCAGAAAATTCTTGATGAAAACTAAAAAGGAAGTGGCATCGTGAGTTTTTGCTTAGCTAATAATATTAACATTATGACAGAAATTCACATAAAAGTTTATAATCACCTAATTAATATTAATAATATAACAAATTCACTACTAAAAAAAATTGTTAACTTTGGCTTTGCTAAATTATGACTCCTTAAACGACTATATTATCATGCCTGTACTTTACTATAAACTTATTAACTTATATTTCATTTCTTTGTATAGATTGTGTATTTCAAATAATAATCCAAATAAAAAAAAATAATTGTTGATTAAAATTTATATTTTTATACTTAATACAAATATTAATCTAAATTTACATTTATTATAAAACACTTACTTGTATATAGATATATATAGATATAAATTCTTATTTTTATAAACTTAGTATAGTGTTTTGGAATAAATATTCACACAGAATAAAAAAAAAACTATGAGGGCTATTCATATCCTTATTCATACTAAGGATAATAACCCTTAAATATGGTTTTACAAAAATTAAAGCTACCTATGTTTAATATTAGATGTAGGTTGTATTCATTATACTTAAATCATTTTTAAAAATTATTTGTATTGACATATCAATAGGAATTACTAACACTTTCAGATTATCTAAGCCCCCAAATCTACTTAACCTATTGCTATAGAGCATAGTCATATTATTCTTAGTGATTTGACTCTAACAATCATAGGTATTTTCAATATTGTTTCTGCTTGAGTTTCAATTATAATTTTATTAACAGCCTAATATATTGAAGGATTATTTCAGTATCAACAAATTATAGTGTTCAAATTATCATTCCATTAAATTTAGCAACGTTAGACAAAAAATAAAATATCAAGCTTTCTCAATCAAGTTACCGAAAATGCCGTTCTCAATCAATTGTAATTTACCTACTATCTATCACAGGGAAACCTTCCCTAACGACCTTTAAATCGTGGATACCTCCAAATAGGTGATGTATTTTTTGGAAAAAACTAAACCCTCTGATTAGTGGAGAAAATGTCAGCGACCAAGAGTGTTTGGTATTTAGAGGATTCATTGTATTATTTTTGAATAAATATTAAAATAATTTATTTGCTCTTTTATTATTCAATATTAGTTTAATAACTTTCTATTATTTTGAGAATGATATGTAAAAAACAACAAAATGGTCTATGAAAAATATTTCAATTGTAGATGTTTTTATAATATTTATTCCTGATTGTATTTATTTAGACAAAAATTAATTTCTAAGATAATATTTTAGATTCTGAGCAAAGCGATGAGTGTATTGGTTTTAAAATTATGTTTTTTTTTTAAAAAAAATTTTTTAAAGTTAACATTTTTTTTTTTGTGTGTGTACACGATAAGTAGTCAAAATAATACTTCGATTTTCAACTTCAGTATCTTGTTTGATGGGAAAGTGAATATGTTGGTTGGGTCGTTGGGGAGGTCAAAATTTAAAATTCCCAGTACTTTTCAAAAACGCCGATCCATTACAGGGACCCATTTGTAATCTACTGTACAGCAGAGCGACTCCCACTTGCCTAAACTTGCCAGTTTAAATTTGAACTGTACCACACTTGTAATAACAATTTAAATTTTTAAAAAATTAGTTTTTATGTTCGAGTTAACGAATTAATATTTTGTAATTTTTATGGAAGTCCTGGTTCAAAACAGTTTTTTTTGAGATATTTCCGGTTAATGTAAAATACCAATTATTTAAAATGAATAAGGCAAATATTAAAAAGTACCTATTTATTGCAAATCACTTAATTGTATTTGTAGTTGTTAAGAAAGAGAATGTTTGAAATGTTTCACCATTTTCCACATATTATTCTTTATGATAGGAATTGTAGTCTAATTTGCATTCTAAATGTTAAATATTCATTATGATGTTAATATTTTTTTATAGTATTTAGTTAGGAGTTGCCATTTAAAATAATTCTATTCTTAAAAATCTAATTTACATAACTTAAAATTAGGTACTTTAACATCTAATTCTCCAGTATTGTTTTTCATGAGGTACTCTTGTGTAATTATGTACAACTCAAAACAAAATAAATTAGCACATTTATGTACCTACATGATGTACAGACAAGTTTGACTTGTATTATTATACTTGTTTATTTAATAAAAGCCTATTACATTTTATTGAATATAATTAAAAATTAAAAAATGATTAATTCTTCTTTTAATTATGTTTAAAAAATTACTTTATACTAAACTAGGTATCTATTTAATATTAATTGTTTATTTTTTTCTCCAGTCTATATATTACATGATATCAGTTCCATCTGTAACTAGTCAGTTTTTTAACTCTGGAAGGTTTTAAAACTTTTGAGAATTAGAGTTAAATTAGTAGGTATGTGATTAAAAAGTTGAGAGAAATGTAATAGTATTAGGTTCAAAAAATATTTACTCCTAGTGTAGAATGAAAAAGTTCTTATTTTATTTTGAAGATATTTTATGTTCTGTTTATAATACATATATTATTATACCTAAAATCTATATTTATAAATGTATTATATCTAATTTGGTACTCATGCAATATTTTCAACATTTCAGTGTAAAAAAAGTAATGTATTTAAATATGGTATTATATTTTCTAATAAAAATATATTAAAAAAATATAATTTTGTCTTCTACGCCAATAATTAATAAGAATTGTCCATAAGTAGTCTTGTTGGTAGGTAATGGATATAATAAGTTAAATTAAATTAATTTTGCTACATTTTGTTTTTGTTATTAATTGATAATTTACCATAAGATTGTTCATCTTTATCCGGCCAATATTGTTCCAAAAGCCGGCGTTTATAACCCATGGTGTTTATTCTAATAATAAAAAATATATATCACAAATGCTATCCTGTATATTATTTATATATATATATATATGTATTTAATATATTTACTTGTGTTTTACATATTTTTGTTTGTATATTATAATATATAAAAGTAAACTGGTTATCACGGTGCAATTTACATATTGTACATACCTACAAACAATTAATTACAACTATCTATTGTATTATATGTTAATAATCTACAAGAGTTAAAATTCAAAATTAATATGTATTATGTAGGTACCTAATAAAAGATATACTATTTAAGTTTCAACAAATTATTTTTATTCTTTCACTTCGAATTAGATCTCAATAATATTGCATCATATACTCTGCTTGATTGTGGATACAACATGAATACTCATAAACTTCTTCAAATATTAATAATATATTATAGAAAAATAAATTATTTACTTCACCTCTTGTTTTGGAATATATTTTTTTAGTCCAAATGGGGTCTGTGAGATAAAATGTTTTAGCCAACATTAACGATCTACCTATAATATTGCCTCTGTGTTTATAAATGGTTAAAATTAATATAAATGACAGGACTAACTAAAGATATGAATACCTATATTATTTATTTATTTATAAATTAACGGGTAAACACCCTTTTGGTGAATATAATAGATATAACATGTAGTATTTAATATAAAAAAAAATTAACAATAGACTTAATTAAGATATAAATAAATAGGGGATATAGAAATATGTTAATAAGAAAAAATACAGATACAATAATTAAATAAGAATAAAAATATTTTTTAACACAAGATTTCTTATTCAGTTAATACAGTTAATTATTTGTTTTCATATTTATATTTTACATAGTATTATACATTATATGAAACTTACTAGAGTAAATAATAATTACTTTTTGTTTTATGTGTAGCTAAAAACGGCAGAAGTGAAACTATAGCAGACGAAAATCCAATGAGTGACGTGAAAGATGAAGACAAAGCTGAGGGTGACCAAAGTATTGAGCAGCAGCAAGCGTCACCAAAAGTGGTCAATACTGACATTCCAATGACATTTGTGGAGACAGATCACAGTTCACTAGAACACTGCAAGAAAAATGAGGGCAATGAAGCAAAGGAAGGTGACCAGCCAAAACAGGATGAGATGATAAATACTGTGCGTCTGGTAGGTGAGCCACTGGTCACACATGGTCCATACACGTTTTACAGTGCATTAGCGTATCGCAAACGCGATGATGTAACAAAAAAGAAGAGACGGCGGTGGAAAAAGCCAATAACAGGGGTGGATGATGAAAGTGATAATGCTGCCGAATCTTATGATTCATCATCGTCATGTTGCTGTGCCAATAATGATACCGGAAATGATTTGTGTTTCTGCGACAATGGTTCGTCGTCATCAAGGTCTTCGTCATCCTCTCGTTCTGAATGGTCTGTTGTACACATGAATCATTTTTACGCAGTTCGCCCATGGTATAGCAAGAAAAACAGCAGTAGTAGTGACGGGCGGCAGCAGAGACGTCATCGAGAAAACTCACCGAAATTGACTAAAACAACTACTGCTGCAGCAGAGAGGCAACAGCATCACTATCAGCAATCGGTGTGTATTGGTGAACTGGAGTTATTATGGCGTGATGACAGTGTGGTAACGTCATCAACAGCTCTGTCGGCTTCTTCACAGCTCAAGAAACGTAATAGTAACAGAATTGTGCCACCTGCACTGTTAAATGTGGAATCAAATGACGGGGATGATGGAACAGATCCTATGACAAGTAGTAGCAACATCCATGGCGATGCTGTTGCCAGTTCAGATGAAGACGACGGTGTTAGTGGTGGATTTGACGATGATTCATCATCATTATTGCCACGCCGTCGCACTTTGCCTAGACGCACTCGTCAGCCGTCGGCTAAGAAACTTGAGGCTGCAGAATCTTATGCCGCAGTGGCAGCTGCAGCAGCGTCAGATAACCATCACTCGTCACAGTCACCATACAACCGCAATCGCTTATCCACGGCTGCACCGTCAGACCCCACCTCTGTGAGTGTTCCACTTTTATCACCAGATGCTCAGTATAGTCATGGAAACCTACTGTGCAGTGTTCGGTTATATGTGATGCCTGATCAGACAGCTACCGGCCGGCTTGGTGGTGTACATGGTGAGGATGAAGTGTTAGAGATCAACACTTGGAGTACCAGTGGTGGTGCAGAAAGATGGCCGAGTAACATATTGACTAATGGCAACAGTGGTGTAGGATCTATCTACAACGGTAGTGGTAGCGTTGACGATTATGGTTATGGTAGTGGAAGTCATTCGTCAGGAACATCGCCGTCTGGCTGTTCGGGATTAGTATTGCGGGCTGAAGATTTTATCGAGTGGGTTCGTGGTGGACTGATGAACGATGATGAAAATGAAGACACAGAGTCTGATGATGATTCATTAGAATTAGATTGTGATGATAACAGCACTAATGACCGAAAATGCAATAGAATAGAAACTTCAAAACCTAAGGATGAGCAACTGTCATCTTTAGTAACGGACACAATGGCTGATGTAAAACAATGTAAGGAAGAGATATTAAATACTTTGAATGATGATAATAACAGCAAAATGAAAATAGAATCTACCCTGATCAAAGATGAAGTGATAACAGAAAATTTACTTTCTGAAAATCCAGAAAAAGAGAAAAAGGAACAAGAAGAACTAACTGTAACTGTTGATTTTGGTATTGCTGATAGTAAAACAATAAAACAAAAACACGATAGCAGTGACATTAATTATCACTCAAATGATAGCTATTGATGAGGCTGTAGAAGCCGAACATGTTCCCTTAGCTGCAGCTAGAATTCACAAAGAACAGTGTGAACGTGTTACTGACCGTCATCGACGCTGTCGTCGTCATCGCTTAAATCAGAGGTCATTGGTAAATGGTGATAGCACTAGTACTGTCGCTAAGGAAAACGATCATCGCGATTATAATGTATCAGCAGTGACAAATAAAGGTACTATTCTCATTACACCTAATTTTATGTTGTTTTTATTATTTTTACTATTATATTTTTGCAGTTGAAAAAAAACAGGACAATGATAAAAAGTGTTGCTGTTATTGTTGTAAACGCCGTCGTCAAAATTACCAACATAATGAAAAAAGAACAATAAACAATGTCAGTGTGGGTAATAGTATTAAACAACGATTGGTGGTGATGAGCTACTCTCGATACTGCCGATATAGAGCACAATTGCAACGTAAGTGTGAACAGCAGTTCAGCCAGGGAAATGCCCCTGTTGTGACAGCTGATGATAAAGAAAAGTTGATGACAACCACAAACCGTGGAGAAGATTCAATGACCAGAGTGTTATTTTGTCGAGACACGTATGATTATCCAGCAGAACTTCTGTTGGAGCCTTTTAATGCACAACAAAACCATCAGCAACACACGACAGTTTTGGTAAACCACATGGGTATGTACATTATTCATTGCTGTATTTAATAAAGCATAAATGATCATAATATAATACATTACATTAAAAATAATGTATAATGTAATATCTCTTAGGAAGGACAAGGTTTAGAAGAGTTTACACTCCAAATATTCAATTATTATCATTATTATCATTACATAAAATTAAGAAAATATCCAATATTTCTGTTCTATTTTAGAATTTAAACCAACAATTAAAAATAAAAGGCTTTATAAGTTTCTTGATTTTAATTTTATGCTATGACATTTAAAGGGTTGTACTAAGATCTATTAAAATCAAAAAATGTTAAGAATGTGTAGTACGATTGGCTTATAGGTTTTTATTTTTTTTTAAGTTAAAACCTATTTATTTTTCTTTATTTAATTTTTAATTTATTTTTATAGTATTAATTAATTTTAGTTAAACAATAATGGTTAATGAAATATAATATTATACATCATTATATTATACCTTATATTGATATCAAAATTATCTAAATGTAAGTAAAATAGTTTTGAGCTATTTGAGATAATTTAGCTAAGTTTTAAAATATGAAATTGTGAATAATAATAATTAATCAATTATTTATTAATATACTATTGAACACATCATGCATAATTATGGCTTATGATTAAAATTAACAGAAATTATATAGTCAATTGAATATCACTAAATTATTTAATATTTTAAAACAGTACATTTATTTTTTAATTTTGTCCTAAACTATATCCAAAAGTATTTTTTTTAACTGGGATATTATTGTTATGTTTGATTGAATTGTAAAAAGTAAATTTAAATAAGTTTATTTGTCTTATATATTATTACTTTTATGGTTGTATTTTAAATAGCTGGTTTATTAATAAATATATAGGTAGTAGGTACTAACAACTCATATACTTATTGTTTGTTATTATAATATTGTAATGATATTATATAATTTATATTATGTTTGCCATTACTTTTTCAGCGCCTAAACTCAAAGGCTGGCCTTCTTATCCAGCATCCTGGATGTCATTCCGATGGAACCGAGTGCGTCGTCGGTTACGTCACCTTGAGCGTAGTGGTGATAGCAATGATGACCGACGTAGGCGTCATCGACGTCGAAAGCTTAAGAAGAAATGTAGTCGACAACAAATTGGAGCCAGCGGGGCGACTGTGGGAATGAATTATTCGTCATCAACTGATGACAACGATTCTGACGATTCTGATTCCGATGATGAGTCTTCTGCTACAAATGATGCTTCCACTAATACCACTACCGACACATCAACTTCAGATTCGGATAGTGCACCATCGCCATCAACAGTAGTGTCTAAAACTGCCAATAAGAATAATTCTACCACAAAAGTGAACATTCATCACACTAACAAAAAAACTATCTCTACATCATCTACTGGAAACATGGTTGTAATTAACGGTGCTACTACTGTATCTGCAGCTATGATTAACAAGCGGCCGGCTATGGCTGTTGGGCAATCGGGTCAGCAACAACTAACCAAACGTCGCCGCGTGGTTTATACCACTGAACAACTTCAGAAAATACATCCGCAACAATCGCGAGTAAATTACCAACAGCAGCAACCACATCCAAGACCTAGACAGCAACAGCAGCAGTCTAGTCATCGATTTAGACAATTGGAGCAATTAAATCAACTTAGTCAATCTCAGCGTCAACAACACATCCTCGCTCAGCAACAACAACAAAGACTACAGCCGTTAAACAGACGTCTGCCACCACCTATTTCGTCTCTACAATCTTCAACGACTAGAATAATACATCATCACTTGCCACCTTCGGTATCTATTATGCCAGTCATAGTCCCCACTACTAATAGTTCTCCTCATCAACAACTACAACGATTCAATAATCGATTGCAAAACCGGCAAAAAATACATGCTACTGCTACAGTTTTACCCGTCACTTCCCAGCGAAGAAATAATAACATTGAACGACAACAAACGCCACTTCCACCTGTCATAATAGAATATGACGATGACGATAATAACCAAGAGTATGGATCTGACGATAATGGTCGATACAAAAAATCAACAGTGGCAGCTATGGTGGCTTGCCAAAGACGTGTTTCACGACAAAATTTTAATGATGAGCAAAGACAACAGCGAGAAGATGAAGAAAGGCAGCGTCGATGGCTAGTAGATGCTTTGCGATTGGGTGGATTGGAAGTTACAGCAGTACCTTTAAATACAAGTGCTGGTAGTGGAAACAGCGTTGGAAAAGATGCTAGTTCTGCAGTAACTTCACAACAACGTCGGCGGCGTAATGTTTCATTGTGGTCCGCCAAGAACGAAGATTACAACGGTGGCATTCAGAACAAACCATGTCACGGTGGTACTGACGATGACTCAAATGTAGATTCAGACTCAGATTCTGTAATGATGACCGTGACGCCTGATGTTGTATGCCTATTGAACAAGTCTCAGCAACATGAACAACAAATACCTCATCAAAGACAGACATGTGGAAGTAGTTCCACAACAACAACCTCTGTTACAATGAGTCATAATCATCAACAGCGACGGCGGTCAGCTAACATGAACAACAGTAGCATTGGTGGCCAGCAGCATACTGCAGCAGCGGCAGCAGCAGCGTTACATGACAAAATAAATCGTGCTATTAATTCACTGAAACTGCAACAGCAGCAACAAATGCCGAACAAAGACACACAAGTCAGTAATAACAGTAACAATGTATTATTAACCGGTGGAGCTAATCATGGCAATCCTATTGGTGATAATAGTAATAGGCAACATCAAAAATTGCGCAAAAATGGTGGTGTAGTCCAGCAACAGCAGACAGCAGCCCTTCTAGATCTTTCTGTTAAGCCATCAACGTTACAGAACACCTCAAGGCAACAGAGATCAATGTCAACAGTCGTTAACAGCAATCTACAAAATCAGCAAAACCGAAAAGGTCTAATACCATTCCATTCTACTACCACTTCAGGACCTTCAACTTCCTCAACTAACCTAGAAATTACAATTGTACCTGCCACAACTTCAGCTACATCTAACTCGTTGAGGCTTCTATCACAGCAGCAACATAAACGTAGTTTGTCAACAGCAACACATAATAGTGGCGGTTCTGCTTCTAGTTCTTCTGCTCCAATGACGGTTAGGCAACAACTACAACGTCGGAATTCAACTGTGGTCCCAACAGCTACAGCACCAGCATCCATTGTAGACATGTTATGTGGAAGCAGAAGTCGAAACCTCCAACAACGTAATGGTAGTAGTATGTCTGTAACAGCAACATCTACTATTACTACTACTACTTCTTCTTCTACTACTACTTCTTCTTCTTCTACTACTACTTCTTCTTCTACTACTACTCCTTCTTTGCAGCAAAACCAACAGCAACAAATGTTCATAATAGCTGCTACTGCAATGGCTGCTCAACAACAACAGAAAACTGATAAGCGTAAGTCACAACAAAATAAAAAAGATTAAGATGATCATCCACAAATTATTTAGTATAAAACAATAGCTGAGAAGATGGAGATAAAAGTTTGTGTACGAAGTATAATTTATTCATGCCTATATACTATAATCATAATGTATTATTATGTCCTATAATTTTAAAAATAACATGCATATTAGAGTTTAGTATAATGTATCTGTTTAATTTTCCTTAAAAAATCGAAAACTATGGTGTGTGTGTGTGTGTGTATTTGTTTTGTTACAAAAACTATATTATTTTTTTTTTCAACATATAATTTTAATTCATATATATATATATATAAAATGCATGTATTGTAAATTGTTAACGGTATTAATAATAAAAATTAAAGAAGAACAATCAATTTTATTATAATAATTATATTGGCATTAAAAATTTGTTTATTTATATTAGTTTATTATAAAGTACCTATATTGTATATACAATCCTGTACATAATTAAATAATATCTTGTACCTTATCAATTTTATATTATGTAAATATAATTGAATGTTTCTACTTTGTCGGGCAAGTTATGAACTTGCACTTTATACAGTCATAGTTTTCCATTCAGTTTAAAAATATAAACTGTTTATGTAAAACTTATGTATTGGAAAAAATAGCATGAAATATTGCAACTATGGAAATTGAGTTATTTAATTTAAAATGTGATGTTAATATTTAAACATAAAATATAATGTAAATATAATAACTATCACACTATTCATAGGACAAACACATTATTTATGTCTGTTTATTTGGTATATGAATATTCTTTTGTATTGACATACATTAATAGGTACATCATAATATTATCATTAACTAGTTTTTATCATAAAAATATTTTTCTTAATACGATTAGAGTTAAATAAAGAATAAATATGCTTACAATAACTGTAAAAATGTAATGTACATGAAAATTATGTAGAAGTTAATATCTAAATGTATGATTATAATATTATACATTTACATTTTTTAAAGCTTAATATGCATAATACACATAATTATTATAATTAGTAATAAATTGAAAGTATTTATTATACATCAAAATTGTCTGAAACAATAATATTAATTTTTAAGATCCATTCTATTCTAACATGTTTGTTTTATTACATAATTATGTGCTTACTATTTTAAAAAAAATTATTAATTGTCGAGATTTTAACTTGTCAAATATGAATAAATGTTTAACAAATATTTTTTTAAATAAATATGAAAATAAACAAATATTAATATTAAAATAATAAATTTTAGATTATAACACATATGAAATAACTTATTTAATTATAATAATTTAATACCAATTAATTTATGTTGATAAATGTTAAAAAAAAATTAAATTAAAAAATATATTTCCGTGATTATTATCATCTATATATTGAATTGAATCTAGGATAAAATATCCCGTTTGGAAATATCCAGGGATAAAATTACCAATGTATAGGACAAAATGTAGAAGTAATCTAAGTAATAAAATTTTAAGAGCCTGTTTTAAAAAATAAACAAAATATTAATAAAAATTACATTATCTTTTTAATTAGATACATTTTTCATTTTTAAATCACAATATGTTGCTTAGAAAGTTAAATAAATTAATAATTATATCTTTAGTTAGTGTTCCACTAAATAATAGTAACATGTGTCAGTTATGTATAATATTTAAATAAAAATAAAATATTTATACCATGAACTTTTTTTCAAAATTTATGATTTTATAGGACAAAATGTATTAATAATTATGTAGAAAAGAAACTGTTTAAAAAGAAGTGATAATGTAATTACCGAGGTAATTACTAACTTATCATATTTTTTCTATAAGGCAATTAAAAAAAAATTAATTGTTTTTTTCCATTAATTCTAAAAATATTTGATTAAAATTAAAATGCAATTTTTATTAATATTCTTCATTTAAAATATTTTTTAATTGGAATTTTGTCAGGAACATTGGTTAACTTATCCGTTAGATATTTTAGTAAAGGATATTTTGTGCCAATACCCTTTTATTTAGAATTATACAATAGATACATTTTTTTTAACTTACATAATATTTAAAGTTGAATTAAGATATTTTTCCATATTTTTGCAGTTTCTGAATATTAATGAATTTTTGATGTTAATATTCAATTTATCATAATATTATAAAATATGCCTATTTTATACAAAATGATTGTATTCAGTTCCAATCTCTGCTTATTAATATCATTATTTTATAATTTTTAAAAATGTACCTACTCGTTCTTCCATTCTTGTTATTTTAGTATAAGATAACACACACAATAAATTATTCAACATCTTATACCAGAAGTTCCCAAGTAGGATGCTGTTATAACTTGAATTGAGGTTGCCATGAAATTATTTTAAATATAAATCCAATCATATATATTTTTCACTAATAAAAAATAAATGATTATAATACAATATTTTAGTATACTATACTCACTAAAGTATTTAAAAAAATACTTTAGGGTGCTTTGAGTCAATAAAGGTTGGGAAAATCTTCCTTACATATTTAATTTTTATACCATAATAAATTGCTTGATTAAAATTAAATACACAAGTGATTTAAAATATTTTTTTATTTACAATATTATATTTTTATGTAGTCCAAAACTTTTGTTTCGGTTTATCTAATTAATTTACCTAATTGTTAAGGTTATTATTGAATTTAATGCTTAAGTTATTGAAGTAAAATATTTATGTTTTATATCAATTAAGTCTTATTATTATTAATTAAATATTATGATGTATATTTAACACATTTCAGACTCTTAAGTCTTAACCACGGTTATCTACACCGTGTAGGTAACCGTGGTCTTAAAAAAGCAATGAATGTATTAGTTTGACAATGTGCTTAATTTTATTCATCATTTGAAAAAAAAAAATGCTTCAATCATCAACTTTCTAGTTCCGGTTTCTAGAAAAAAACTGGATCTAGACATCTAGTTGATACTTTGGGTGCCAAAAATATTTAGTAAGAAATGTTTGTGTTTCATAACCTGTAGAATCTATCAAAAAAAGTTATTTTTGCATATTAGAGCATATTTTGACTTCAAGGAATATTTCAGAATACTTTAGAATATTTCTGCTATATTTGAATATATTAAAGAAACATTTTCGAGTTTTTAGGTTAGTTTTTGACTTATAATAGACTATGAAACAACATCTACGGTCTACCCACTTAAAATACAGATAAGTAATTTGAAATTTAATAAAATATTTATTTTAAAAATTTGAATCTGATAATATAATATATTATACATAAATTTCAATATTTGTCAAAATATTTATTATTTTCGTTACCTATACTACGGCCCACGAGAGTCCATACGTAAACCGCGCACCGATACTGACGTACCCGACGTCTGCCGACCGAATTTTCTCCCACCACATTGCCATTCCCTCCACACGGCAACGTGAATACAGTGGTTCATAAAAACACGGCTAATTAATTGCTGTTTTGGGGGTGTTATATGATTCTCCATAATGAATAAAGAAAAACTCGTAAAAAAATTCGTTTTAAACTTCTAACGTAAATGTCGTAAATGACACAAAAAACCAGTTATAAAAGCGAATTAGCTGAATTTCATAAACGTGTTTGGTGGAACTGTCGCTACGTATCCACGAATATCAACGACGCCTATCGGCGATCGTTGCCAACCGGCTTCCGATCAGTATGATTGGGCGTATGGAAAAGGAACTGATGCGCAGCGACGGACACGTTTTTACCACGATTTAGGATGTACAGGTTACTCAACAGTCAACGCAGCATTTATTTTTGATGTCCATTGTATACCCTTGATTATGGCCCGTGAGAAGCACACCTAGCTCCCAAGTGGTCATTAATATCATAGACATATTAACTAAGTTAATATGTCTATGATTAATATTGTTAAATATTTTATTCCATGACAATAACCCGCTGCCCGCACAGAATTTTTATAATTTGAATTTGTGGTATCCGTATTCGGATTTCGGCTATTCCTTATTAGTTATTACTTATTAGTATAACAAATTATAATCACAAAGACATAACAGTTACTACTTACTAGTTACTATTACCAATTCTTGAAGTTTTTCAGACAATCAAACAAAGGTACCTATTAATAAATTACTTACTGATTAATTAATCTAAAGATTAATATAAATAATATTAGACTAATATACAGGAGCGGATTGGGGAGAGATTCCGGCCCGGGAAAATACAAAGTATACCGGCTTACCAATTTACCAAATACCTATTTAATTTTAGCCAACATAATATTATTATGTATTACTATTTTAACATAACTACACGTTTGGCAAGATATAAAATTTATAAAACTTTATTCGTAGTGTATATACATCGATATCAAATTTATTTTTATTTTTGAACAGTTTATGTTTACACATTTATAATAGACCAAACTCCAAGTACTTATATATAACACAGTAAAAGTGAATAATTTAAATTACTAATGTTACGATTTTTGTATTTAATAAGAAAGGTTATTACCTATTCAATAATATTTAATAATGCGTTTTTAGACTTAAATAAAATCTTATAATTTACTTCCACTTAATATACCTGATAGGTAAATTAACATGCAAAATGTATGTGTTTTTTTTTATTTTCTAAAAAAATGTTTTACTGTGGTTTATTCATAATAACATTATGTAGGTACTTCAATTCTAAACAATCAGAAAAATTGTATAGTCTTGTTTTCCTTTAGTATTATTATGTAATATAATATTGAGTAAAATGTTTTGTCTCCGTCTTAGTACAATCTAACAAATTATCGTTCACTATCTGTATTCACCGATCAGCCGAAACGATATAATAATAATATTTAGCTGTAGTAACTAAATATTATAGAAATTATTGTATACCTACGTAATGTTACTTCCCTATTATTCAATGATTTATAAATTCGCCTAAACGATCGGTTAATTTCTGACCCAAATAATATATGCTTTACTCAAGTTAATTTTGGATTATTTGCCCAAACGAATGACGCTCAAATTTTTTACACCCG